GGGTCCAGCCGCGCCTCCTCTCCGCCACCCAGCACTGGGCGGTGCGGCCCCTGCTGGCCTTCGCGGGAACGCGCTGCGCAGGCGCCTTCAGCCCGCGCGCCGTTGGTCCTTCCGGCGCCCCGTAGTGTCGGTTCCCTATTGACACGTTCGCTGAGGGCGTGGAGGGGGCGGGAGCCGGGGGCCCTCGGCTCTTAAAGGGAACGAGGGGCGGGAGGCGGCACCCCTGGTGGCGGCGCGGGACGTGCGGTCCCAAGCAGGTTTGGGAAGGGAACGTGGGGCTGGACCGGCGCGCTCGCGAGGGTCCGGGTGGTCCGCGGGGATCGAGGGAGAGTTTCGGCGGCTGGGCTACATTCTGGGCAGAGTACTGCCGGGGCCCACCCCCGTTGCCCAGCTCCCGCGGTCGTGGCTGGAGCGGCCCGGGGTCATTCATTCCCAGCCTGGGGACTCCTTGCGCCCACCCCTCCTAGCCGCGGCCCAAATTCCTGCCCGAGCCCCAGCGCCTCCTCCCATCCACTATGCAGACTGGGAAAACCAAGGAGGCGACAGCTGACCTGGGTCGCCCCGCAGGCCCGTGGCGGGTCGTGCGCTTCACCAGCCTTCCTGCCTCCCAGAGCACCCTCCGCGACCGCTTTCTGGGGATCCGCACAGTGCGTGGACCTCGGAGGGGTGGAGGTGGGGGAGGCTTCGGCGTCCGGAGCAGAGTCCAGCTGGAAGCAGTCGGAGGGGAGGGCTAACTGCTTGGGCGAGGTGGCTGCCCTGGGAGCCTGGCGATCCGGATTCTAGCTCAGCTATCACTGTGTGACCGCAGGCACATTAGTTCACCTCTCTGCCTTTAGTATCCCTGCCTGTAAAGTGCCATTGATAATGCCTGCCCCACCAGGATGCTGGGAGAATTCAGGAAAATGCAAAAGTGCCGGTACACCGAGGGCGTTCAGCCAAATTGGTTGGAGCTGGATGAGCCCAGGAGGCAAATGAGGCAGCCTGGAGGAAGGCGGCTGCGTACCAGGCCGCTCCGAATGAAAGGCCTCAGTGTCTGGGGCTTCCTCTCCCCCCCACCCCCTCTGCGCTGAGTTTGTTTAGGGCGGGGTGCACACCTTGCAGTGGAGTGGGTGCCAAGGCCACGTCTACACTGGCCAGCTCAGTGCGGTCTAGAGTTGGGTAGGATCCTTAACTCCAAACCAGGAGTGACCCGGCTGGCCCTGGCAGTGGCAGAGGCTGAGCCAGCCTGGCTGGCCTGGGGCAGGGTGGGGTGGGGTGGGGCCAACGCTGGGACAGCAGTGCTGCAGCCGGAGCTGGGTTCAGGCTGCCTGGCAAAAGACCCCACCCTGAAGCCATCTGGTATGTTTCCTGCTTCCTCCCAGCTGATCCTTGAGGGAGAGTAAGTGAGGGTACAGCCAGAGCCCAGGAGCCAGTTTACACCTAGTGATGGCAGAGGGACTGGGAAGGCCTGAGTCAAGAGCCCTTCGTGGGCTCTTGGAGTTCCAGTGCTGCTGCCGTATTTGCTTCTGCCCAGAACTGGCCAGTTCCCAGACACCTTGAGGAAGTGTGGAGCCTTAGATTCCATCTTCCCAGCCCAGGGTCAGTTGGGTCTAGAAAATATGGCACCTGTGTGGGTCTCCCCACTTGTACCATGTGGCAGGCTTTAAAATCACCTCATTGAACCCTTAGACTATCACATGGGACTTGTACAATTTTAAGCTCCATGTTATAGAGGTGGAAACTGAGGCCAAGTGATCTCTGAGGCCCAAGGCCAGAAAGTGATGGTATCCAGACTTGGACCAGGGCTGACTCCAGAGCTATCCTATTAACTAGGACACACTACTGCCTCCCTCAGAGGCCAGACGCCAGTTGGAAAGAGGCCCTGAGTGGCCAGCCTCGGCCACCTCTGAGACTCTGTGTCCTGGGCCAGGTACAATGGCAGAGAAGGTGTTGGTAACCGGTGGGGCTGGCTACATTGGCAGCCACACGGTGCTGGAGCTGCTGGAGGCGGGCTATTCACCTGTGGTCATCGACAACTTCCATAATGCCATCCGTGGTGAGTGTGGGGGTGGAGGGCTAGAGCTTCTGGAGGGGATGGAAGGAAAACCCTGGGTTCTACCTCCAAGGGGGGGGTGTCTGACTAGTCTCCAGGACCCCATCTCCTCTGATATTTATGGCCTCTGTGTGCCCAACTAGGAGGGGGCTCCATGCCCGAGAGCCTGCGGCGGGTTCAGGAGCTGACAGGCCACTCTTTGGAGTTTGAGGAGATGGACATCTTGGATCAGGCAGCCCTGGAGCGACTCTTCAAGAAGGTGGGGGGCTTGGCAGGCAGGCAGGGGGCACTGTCAAGGGCCGGGGCCTGTAAAGCAACCTCTGACTCTGGCTTGTCTCTGCAGCACAGCTTTATGGCGGTCATCCACTTTGCGGGGCTCAAGGCCGTGGGCGAGTCAGTGCAGAAGCCTCTGGATTATTACAGAGTTAACCTGACAGGAACCATCCAGCTTCTGGAGGTGAGATGCGGGGCAAGGACAGAGACACTGGGAGGGCCCCTGGCCAGGTGGGCAGTGCCCAACACTGGGTAAGGTGGGTAATCAGGCAGAGCCCCAAGCTGTATCATCGTGGACACACCTTTCTTTACCTCTCAGCCTCGGTCTCCCCATCTGTGAATGGGAGCGCCCGTATCTCAGCCCCACCCACCTGTGGAGTAAGGGGCTGGGAGTAGCGTGAGGCAGAGGCCACTGACACCTCCCCCCATGGCCAGATCATGAGAGCCCATGGGGTGAAGAACCTGGTCTTCAGCAGCTCAGCTACCGTGTATGGAAACCCCCAGTACCTACCCCTGGACGAGGCCCACCCCACAGGTGGCTGTACCAACCCCTACGGCAAGTCCAAGTTTTTCATTGAGGAAATGATCCGGGACCTGTGCCAGGCAGATAAGGTAAAGGACCCCTTGACCCAGCCCTGGCTCTACCCCCGTGAGCCTAGGGATGGAATCTGGAGCAATCCCCACCAAGGAGGAAGCTAGGGCTCAGGAAGTCACAGTGACTACCCAAGGTCACAGTCCTTGGGGGAAGGCCTGATCCCCCTGCTCCTTTCAAGGGACAGAGAACAGGCATGGGAGACATGAGAGGCACAGGACTCTAGATTGAGCTGGGACACAGCCTGTAACCTCACCCCCATCACCTGACCTCTGTCCCACAGACCTGGAACGCAGTGCTGCTGCGGTATTTCAACCCCACGGGCGCCCATGCCTCGGGCTGCATTGGGGAGGATCCCCAGGGCATCCCCAACAACCTCATGCCCTATGTCTCCCAGGTAAGGGAGAAGTGGGGTGGGGATTGCCCCAGGGTTGAGGGGTACAGCTGGTGCCGAGGGCCTGGGAAGAGCTGACCTGACCTCCACCCCAGGTGGCAATTGGGCGACGGGAGGCACTGAATGTCTTTGGCAACGACTATGACACAGAGGATGGCACAGGTGAGACCAGGATCAGAAGGATCCAGGAATGGGAGCCAAGAGGGAGACGGAAGTGGGATAGACTGTACTGAACCCTCCTACCCACCAACTCCTCTGCAGGCGTCCGGGATTACATCCACGTTGTGGATCTGGCCAAGGGCCACATTGCAGCCCTGAGGAAACTGAAGGATCAGTGTGGCTGCCGGGTAGGGACAGAAAGGAGACCTGAAGGAGGACAGGGAGGTGGAGTCCCGGGCAAATGGGGCCCAGAGGAGTGGTTAGTTCAGTCTCCTCCATAGTACCTGTTCTCTTCTGGCAGATCTACAACCTGGGGACAGGTACGGGCTATTCGGTGCTGCAGATGGTCCAGGCCATGGAGAAGGCCTCCGGGAGGAAGGTAGACCATCTGCCCTGCCCCGCCCCACCTGACTCTCAGCAGTAGCCCCGGCCCCTCCCACTCAGGCACTGCCACACCTACTTACCTGCCTTAGCGCTGGGTGCCTGTGAGAGAGCTCCTGCCCTGCACCTCCATTTCTTTTTTTTTTTTGCACCTCCATTTATTGAGGTCAGCAGCTGGCTGGGTGAGGCCAGGGCTGGCTCAGCTAAGCTACACCTGTCCCCTCTCTTGCAGATCCCGTATAAGGTGGTGGCACGGCGGGAAGGTGATGTCGCTGCCTGTTATGCCAACCCAAGCCTGGCTCTCCAGGAGCTGGGTTGGACAGCAGCCTTAGGGCTGGACAGGATGTGTGAGTGCTAGCCTGATCCCTGGGAGAGAGCTAGGGGCTAGGAGGGGCTGATTGGGTCTGGGTATGCCTACACTGGGCTACCTGAGGTGGTGGGGGCTCTGCATTTCAATGTGGACCCTGACCACACACCTTGCCCTGTCACAGGTGAAGATCTATGGCGCTGGCAGAAGCAGAATCCCTCAGGCTTTGGTGCACAGGCCTGAGACCCTCTCCTACCATGGACCGGAAACTAAAAAGAGAAACAACTGCCTGCTCTCCAGCATCTGGCGGGAACCCAGCCTGCCCTACCTCAAACCCCAGCCAGGACCTTTCAGCTCACAGGCACGAGGCCAAGGGCTCCAATAATCAGGAGTTGGGTGTCTCTAACTATTCTCTTCCACAGGGTCTGGGGACCCATCAGGATCACCAAGAGCAGGTGGGGGAGGGAGGGTCCTGAGACAATGCCCTACTCCCAGGAACTAATTTATACTGCTATGAAGGAACTCTCCAAAGTATTTAAAATAAAAAGTTTTCTTACACTGGAGCATTTTCTCACACATGGTCTCTCCCTACCACTTGAATAGAAATCAGCCAGGCCTGAGAGTTGAAGCAATTTAATTTTATCGGAATCCAGGACACAACAAGAAAAACACCCGAAACCACATGGAGACAGAAGACGAGACACAACTCCTCCCCCACCTCCCCTGGCCCTAGAGTGGGGACCACATGAGGATGACACAGCTGAGGGAGACCTGGAGCCTCAGTGCAGCCCTGCAGGCTCCAGGCCTGTGGGGGAGGAAGGTAATGGGGAGGCAGATCCCAGCCCCCAAGTCAGAAAGGGTTGAAGAAAGGCCCCTCCAAGGACTCTGCCCCCTCACTAACACTTCTGCCCGGGGCAGGTAGCCCACAGCAGCAAGGGGCCTGGAGTCATGGACACATTCATGATTGAGAAGCAGCTGGAATGGAGGCAGGAGAGACACACGATTATCTGGGCAGAATCAGTTGGGAGGGGTGATGGGGCCTGGGAGGGCCCCTTGGGCCAAACCCTGAGGTCACAGGAGGGGGCCCAAAGCGGGGCTAGTGAGTGAGGTCCTGAGTGAGTGGGTCAGCGGCTGGGCCCCTTCTCCCGCTGCCTACAGCCCCTCCAATACTGCTGCCAGGGGGGGCCCACCTGCAGGGAACTAGGGGAAGAAAGCGGCCCAACCCCTGCTGCAGACAGCCAGGTGGCTAAAACCAGGAAGGAAGGCCTGGCTAGACCTTGGCCCGCCTGCCCCAGAGGCCTGTGGGAAGAGGATGGGTCAGGGAGGGTGGGGACGGGCTCGACCGGCTCAGATCCAAGATGGTGCCACGCGTGCTGGGTCCCCTATGAGCTGGGGGACTGCGCTGGGGGCCAGCAACTGGTTAGAGAGGGGGCAGCAGCTTCTCAAGAAACTCCTTCACAGCCGCCATCTCCTGGGAGGGAGGGAGGGAAGGAGGGAGGACTGTGAGAGGCACCTGGTTGGAGGGAGGAAGGAGAGAAATAGGAGCAGGAAGTGGCCCTTTACCACTGACCTGAGGACAGGAGCCGTGCATGACACCTGGGTAAGTTTTGAACTGGACTCTGGCAGGTGTGACAACAGACCGGAGTTTCTCGGCTGTCAGGGCCCCAAACCGTACAGGAACCATGGGGTCCAGCTCCCCGTGGCACTGAAGGATGGCCAGGTCCTTGGCACTTCCGTTGGCTGCCTGTGGACCAGACGAGACTCAGAGGGCAAAACCAGTGCCTTCAGCACAATTCCCACGCCACAGGAGACTCAAAGGGCAGAAGGGGGGTCATGGAGACACTCACCTGGGGGAAGGCCCGGTGCAGAGGCAGCCAACAGCTCAATGCCACAATGCCAGCCAGCGGGTGCGGGCAGGTGAGGGCTGTGTAGAGGGACAGGGCCCCACCCTGGAGGAGGGAGAGCAGAGAAGTCATTCGGGCACAGCTCCCATGACCCACCACCCACTGCCCTCTTCCCCCTCACCTGTGAGAAGCCTCCCAGGACGATCCGATTGGCAGGAATCCCATTCTTCATTTCGTGCTCAATCAAGGCCTTTACTGGGGGGAGGGGCGTGATTGGGGAAGGAAAGCTGCTGCAAGGGCTCCGGGAAGAGAGCCAGACAGAAGTACTGCCCAACACTTTCCAGGAGGGGTGGAGGAGGAGGGAGCATGCTGAGGAGGGGCTGGGCCTTACTGTTCTCTGCTGCCTTCTTGATGCCAGCCTCGTCCTCAGGGGCATCTGGACTCAGCCCCATCAGGTCAAACCTAGGAAAGCAGAGGTATTGGCAGCTACAGGAGGACCCCAGCCAGCCCCTACAGCTCCCTCAGCTCCCATTCCCCCACTCCCCAACTCACCAGGAGGGCATCACCATCTTCATGTTAAGTGTCACAGGGATTCGAGGCCTGGGGAAAACAGCAAGAAGGGCCATCATGCTTAAGAGGGCTGAGGAAGCCATAGCGGTGAGCCCAGGAGGGGACAGAGCAGCCACTGGGGGCCCATCCCAGCAGGCAGGGCCTGTGTTTAAGGTGTTGCCAGGCAACCTGCCACATGGGGCTGGAAGCTGTAGTAGAAGCATCAGCAGTAGAGGTGGAGAAGCAGAGCCCAGCACTCAGCTTGCTGGAATTCCAGCTCAGTTGGTGAGTACTTGGGGAAGGGGAGCAGGGGGTTCAGGTTCTAGGAGTCTCAGGTCTAGAAGGCCTTGGGCTGAGGGCTGGGGCTGGACCCCATTCCTGGGGGCCCCACAGAAGTAAAGGCTGAAAATGGCACTTCTGACTGCCCTGGGCCCAGGCCCCAGGATGTGGCCGACAGGAGAGAACGTAAGGACCGCAAGATCAACTCCCCCCAGCCAATTCCTATCTTCAGCCCCTCCCTTGCTAGGGTGACACTCACGCATGGGGACAGATGTACTTGACGTGAGGGAGCCGAATGGTGGAGAGGGCGTCAGCCCAACTGTGCCTGTAGGAGGGATGGGAGAAAAGGCAACAATGTGGAGACAGAGAAAGGGCAGGCACAGTCCTCTCCAGCCCTGCCAGCTGGGCCAGACCCCACCTCCCCTGGGAACACCCACTTCCCAGCTCACTTACCCTGTGTCTCCAAGTCCATGTAAGAAAATAACCTGGAAAAGGATCAGACATGGACAGTGGGGATGAGGGCAGCCATCATCTTGCTATCATTCCCTACTGTCCTCCAACTTCTGGCCTCCCCTCCCCAGCCCCTCCCACACAGACCTGGGGGGAACTGAGGCAGAAGCTAAACAGGTTTTTAG